CGGGCCACCACCTTGACCTCAAACCTTTGTTGGCCTGGAACCTTTGTGATGACAATTTACAACCTACCCAAATCGATTTCTGACGTCTGCTGACGAAATCAATTGTATCATGTACCACCAGTCTGATAATCACGAGTAGATTGGCCCACTTGGTTGATCGTCACATACATTCTATATGATGCATACTCTATATGATGCATCCGTATTTAACTGAATCCCTTTGAAGATTTATGTACAATCACCAAGATCGCTGATTTTTGGGGGGGGGGGGCCAAATTTGTGTTCGTGGTTTGAGCAATTATCATTTACGTTGAATGTCTGTCAGCGGTGAATATTTGTTAGCGGTGAATATTTGTGAGCGGTGAATATTTGTGAGCGGTGAATATTTGTGAGCGGTGAATATTTGTGAGCGGTGAATGAATATTTGTGAGCGGAATTGTTGGGAGAAAAAAGTATCTTTTTCTTTAAAGAAACTTCTCAGACCTTGCGTTAGGTCTGGCTGGACTCAGGACCTCGGGCTGGTCCTGAACTGCGATCGATTCGATAAGGCGCGATTACGCCCTGCCCTGTGCTAAGCGCGCTCAGTATCTTTGACGCCATTTTGCTGTCAAGACGATTAGCACCAGTCGGTCTCTGTTGTTAACGACAATACGATTCGTCCGGATCCATGTTACATCCGGTCGTGACATTCTCCGATATTAGCGAAGCGAGTTTTGGTCAAGCTGTCCCAGTCATTTGTCCCCCAGCGCGCACGCACGCCTCGGCCTGTCTTCAAGCCTCGGCCGGCGGTCACTGGCGGGTCACCAGACCTCGGCCTGTTTCCACAGGGTTCTCGTTTTTGTGTAATGATCATTGTACGGAGGGCACCCCATGTTGCATCGTGTTGCGCATTCGTCGCGGCGGAGTGCTTTAAGCCTCGATTGCACCAGGTACACACCTGGAACATACTAGAATTTGAATTCCACACTAGAATTTAGATTTCGCAAACCAAACATTTGGGCCTGTTTTCCTTTGAGGAACTATGTTTTTAAGACTCTTTTTAAAGCCGTCAAATCTGCTCAGATTAGGCTTGAATATGAGGCAGAAGCAGGCCACTGTGTAGGCGCCTAAAACATAAACCGCCGGCCCCCACAGTAGCGCGGGCGGAATGACCATTGTGTACGTTGTTCCGCCAATAGTCGTTGTTCCGCCAATAGTCGTTGTTGGTTGGCCTCCTAGAGTGAGACTGTACAGAACAAAGGTAACGATGGTTGTGGTGTACAGAAGGTGGGCCGAGGTAACGATTCGGTTAGTGATGCGGTTATGGGGTGACCTTTTTGCCAGTTCCAAAGCATTCCGGTAGCTGACAAATAAGTACATTGCCTGTAGCAAGGCTCTCACATATCCGGAAGCATGTTCCCGTCGCGAAACGCTTATTTTCAGCCAGACGACAACGAAACTGGCGACCATGTTCCATGTGATCTGGAAGAAGATGCTCTGATTCATTACAATGAAGGCATGTGTCATGATAGGTTGTCCAATGTCCCAATTAAGGGAATACTCGCGTTGCAAGTACACACCCGAACACTCCGATGAAGACCTCAGACAATCGCCGGGCAGATCCAAAGTCGACAAGTCCTCAGAAGAACTTGAAGAGGAGAGACATTCACTACTGTCATCGTACAAACGACACGACGCCCCATAGCCGCTGTCAAACACTCCCTGGCGCACAGTACCCTTCTCCATGCCAGCCACCCGTCCGCCCGGGACTCTACTGCTGGCCCCCGTGACGGCTGAGTCGTCATTGATGTTTGCTCCGTCGCCAAACTCACTAGCGAACACGGCCTGACGGAATTGTACCTCGTCAACCACTCCTCCATACCGCGGCGAGCCGACCCTCAACTTTGGAGTAGGGAGCTGCCCATCTGGAGTAGGGGGTTGCCCATCTCTCATTGAGCCCGCCGTAACAGACTGGGTGCCTACCGACCCCCTTGTCGCCACCGACCCCCTTGTCGCCACCGACCCTGTGGTAGCCACCGATCCGGTCGTAACGGACTTCGTGGAGAGACTACCAATGGTCAGAGTGTCGCGGAAGTAGGTTCCTTTGGTCGAGCGCACGCACCATGAGGAGGCGACGGTGCTGTCGTTACTGCTTCCCGCTCTTCTAAAGAGTGTTGGCGAGAGTTTGTCGGTAGTCGGCGATGGGGTCCATTGCGAGGTTGCGGCCATCCGGGACGACCTGTCCGCCGCCGGTAGTGATGTTTCGAGTGTTCGATAAGGCGACCCGAACCTCACAGAAACGCTTTCGCTGGAAGGCAACTTCTTAGTGGAAGGTAGGCACCCAGTGGAAGGTAGCCCCCCGGTGGAAGGTAGGCCCCTGGCGGAAGGTGAGGAGGCGTATTCCGGAATATTCTCTCTCAAAGCCCGTCCCAAACTGGCCTTTCGTTCGCCGGTCGTAGGACCTGACCTGTAGGACCTGGAGGGTCCCGGCGGACTACTACCGACCACAGGTCGAGGTGACGAAGGAAGGGACGTCGGCAGTTGGCGGTGCACTGGGCTCAGGCAAGTGGGATGGGCAGTGCTATGATGCTCAGAGGGGGGAGTAGCGGGATGACCATCCGTGTAAGTCGCAGGGCACGGGGTCCGTCGACGACAAATGTCGATCCTAGGTGCGACAAGTTTAGGCGCCGTCGTCCTAATACCCGTCGGTGTTTCGGAAGGGGTGACTGACCTGAAGGTTCTCGACGGGATACCAGGTCTCGCCACCTGGTAGCCTGTCCGAGACTGAGCAGTTGGTCGCGTGCTTAGCTTAGTCTTTAGTGTGGGACTCGGCGTTGTGCGGGGACTGGGTCGAGTTCCGGGAGTGCGGACGGGCGAAGTGGAACGTTTCAGGGCGTGGGATGGCAAGCTCCTTTCTTGCAAGCCGAGTCGGTGACGGGATGGCGAAGCGGATGAGCAAACGGCGCTCACATACGGCACCGCTGAACTCTTCGCAGCCAAACACCGCGTGTAACTGTACAAAGTCTCTAATACTATACATAAAACCAAACCTAATAAGCATCTGCAAGAAGACAATCGTTCTCCATTGAACTCATTTTATACACTCCTCCCATCGCTCACATTTCTATCCACTCATTCGACGCGTAGCCGGGGGCGGGAGTACTCACTTTTCTTTGATGCTGTTCGCCGAACACAACAAAGGTAGTGTTCGGTACATATGAGTGATGGCTGCGGAGTGGAGCAACCAGTATACAGTGCCGAACCAAGGCCTCAGGCTACATCTAAACATTTTCCGGCCTCTAAAAATATCATGACCACAACTCTGCCACCCGCGGCCACTCTGGTGCAGTTATTGAAAGACGATACTCGTAAGGATATGGACGAAGACGGAAAATGGCGGTCGACTGGTGTCGGCGCACGTGTGTGCACACGCGTGTGCGCAAATAAATTAGTTGTCCTCTCTGCAGCTGATGATTTTCGATTATGGACTTTGAAAACGCTCAACAACTGCTGTCCTCAGCAGTGGTGCCAGATTGCGTCGGAGGCGTCGACACTGTAAGATTCTATCACTGTGTATTGCGGATTTTTCTATTGGCCTGTTTCTTCTGAATTGTTGTATGTTGGATCATGGGTCGCCACTGGATTATGGTCGCCGTTGTAGAGAGTCCTGTTATGGGACTATGAAAGATAATAACGTTTGTAAAAAGGCGTTGGCTTTGCTGTTGAGTCAAGTATATTTCCATTTGGACGATTATGCTCAGGCTTTGCGGTATGGTTTGTCGAGCGACGAGTGGTTAATGAGTTACATGCGAAGTTTTTACGGGAGCGAAGACTCGTCAATGCGAGAGCCTGTAGCTATCGACGGGACCGCGGAGGTTCCGGAGCCGAGTGCAGAGTTGAAAGAGTTTGTCGACAAGCTAATATCATTGTGTTTGGATGAGTACGTGCGTATTCGGTCTCGAGATACTGAGTCGGCGCTCGACGGCTTGGTGGGGCGAACGTTAGGGACTGAAGCGGCAGCCATGACCCTGCAGCCTGATAGCAAAGACGGGTCCGGAATGGAGAGAGAGGATAGCAATGTTCCTTTGGACAAGTTAGAGAAATTTGTCGAGTCCTTGTTGCGGTTGGAGGATGTGCCGGAATATTCAGAGGAGACGCTCAAGCTGTTGCTTGGAATAGCGATAGAAGCTTGTAATAAGGCGCAAGTGGAAAGGATTCTAAAGTTTACGGCTGACCCGTTCAACCTGATTCGGTACGTAATGAGTGTGCACGAGTTAGTAATCCCTAGCAAGCAGTTCCGGCAGGAGGTGTTGGAGGTCATTCGCGCAATTTACAACAGCAAGTTGGGGGACTTTGCGGGTTCGAATCCGGGAGGTGTGGCTAGCAAGTTCACAGATGAGCTGCCGACATATGTTCAAGCGTTGTATCTCTGCAAGGACACTGACGGGATTGTGAAGGTGATTCGGGCGTTGGTGGACAGCACGGAGAAGGTGAATCACCTCAAGGCCTACCAACTGGCCTTTGACTTGTTCGAGTACGGATCGCAGAGTCTGATAAAGGACATCCGCCGACATCCATTATTGCAAAAGAGCGTCAAGCCGGCCTCAGAGAACCCGACACCGGCAGAGCCAGAGCCCGATGTGGCAAAGTTAACGGATTCCGGGGTTGACGAGGAGTTGGGGCGGATCGAGAGCATTTTGTCAGGCGGTTATCAGACGCGTTTATTGTTGAAATTTTCGAACGCTAAGAATGAGACGGACTTGGGAATTTTGGAGGCGGTGAAGCAGGGTCTTGGTAGTCGGTACGCGGTCCTGCATTCCGTGCTGATAGTGTGTCATTCGTTTATGCAACGCGGGACAACATGCGATTTATTCTTGCGGAACAATTTGGAATGGTTCAGCAAAGCCACTTGTTGGGGCAAGTTTACGGCTACGGCGAGTTTGGGAGTAGTGCATCAGACGCACAATGACAAGTCGTTCCGTGTACTCTCTACCTACCTACCGGGCATTCCTGGTTGGTCTGCCGGGAGTTCGTTTAGCGACGGTGGCGCGTTGTATGCATTAGGTCTCATCCATGCGAATATGGGGAGCGAGGAAGTGATTCGCTACCTCTTGTCGCAGTTATCCGGACGCGGTAGTGGTGAGGAGCGGACGGTTAACGAAGTGACGCAGTATGGCGCGGCATTGTCTTTAGGACTGGCGGGGATGGGTTCAGGTGAAGCAAGTGTGTCTGAGGCGCTCGAGGCTGTTTTGATGATGGACAACGCGACGGCGGGAGAGGCGGCGGCGATAGCACTGGGCTTGGTTGCGATTGGAACCGGGGACCGTAAGGTGATCAGTACATTGTTGTTGTACGCACAGGAAACACGGCACGAGAAAATCGTACGAGCCTGCGGTTTGGGAGTAGCCTTTTGCTGTCTGGAGATGCAGGAGGAGGTGACGGATGTGGTAGAAGAGATGCTGCAGAACTTGGACCCTTTAGTGCGTTATGGTGGCTGTTTTGCTCTAGCACTTGCCTACGTCGGTACGGGCCGTCAAGCAGCCTTAAGGACGCTGCTGCACATCGCCGTGAGCGATCCAGTCGACGACGTACGGCAGGCAGCCGTAATCTCGGTGAGCTTCCTCCTCTCCAACCGTCCGGAACAGGCTCCGCGGGTCTTCCGATTTTTGGCGGACTCATTCAATTTCCGTGTTCGATACGCGGCAGTCCTGGCTCTTGGTATCAACTGCGCGGGTACCGGCAGTCCAGAAGCGCTAGCAATTTTAGTACCTGCGACACGGGACGTGCATGACGTGGTACGACAGGGCGCTTTCATCGCACTCGGTCTCGTCATGGTGGAATGTTCGGAACGTTTTGTTCGCGATATGCGCGTCGAACAGGAACGAAATGCGCCGGAGACTCAGCGCAAGGCGCGGGAACAGAACCGGCAGGGCAAACGTGCCGCTAGTTCCTCCCTCGACGGCATCCCGACACCGATGCAGGTGCGCGAACATTTGGTGGAGACCGCACTCGATCTTAAGGAAGACCTTATGGCCCGCGTGGGCGCTATCGTTGGCCTCGGCATCCTTGATGCTGGTGGACGCAATTGCACCATCGCTGGACCTCGTCGTCGCGAAACGCTTGTTGGACTCGTCCTCTTCGCACAGTACTGGTACTGGTACCCGCTCATGCTCTGTCTATCCCTCGCCATGACCCCCACCGCGCTGCTAGGCATAAACCAAGATCTTAAATGCCCCAAGGACTTCCGTCTCGAAGCCGCCAACCCACCCTCCCTCTTCGCATACCCACCCAAGTTCGAACGTGAGAAGAAAAACAAGACCGTCAAAATTGCTAACACTCTGCTCACCGCCGCCGTCAGGGCCGGCGCCGTCCCGGACACCAGTAAGGATACTGGTAAGGATGCTGGTAAGGATACTGGTAAGGACACCGGCAAGGATACTGGTAAGGCTGGGAAGGATACTGGTAAGGCTGGGAAGGAGGCAACCGTCGCGAAGGAAACAGGCGCCGGGAAGGAAGCAGGCGCCGGCAAAGAAACCAGCACTGAAGAACACATGGCAGTTGAGGAGGAAGAGGAGCCGAACGTCCAAGTGATTCACAACGGCTCCCGAATCGTGCACATGCAAACGCCTCTACTCAAACAGGAAACCAACCCTAGGTATGTTCCCGTGTTCCCCAAAAGGAAAATGAACGGCGGTATCGTTATGCTCGTTGACACCAGGTACGACCACACTTACCTCTCCCCCATCTCTCGGGCTTCCCTGCCCCCCCTCCCCCCCTAAGTCAAG